CACCTTGGATTCCCTCTACTATCCACAAACATTTGAGTCTTCTGATCCCACGTGCCTTAATTTGATAATGAATTAATTGACATGGAGGATGATGATGAAACACATGTTTATTGTCGATCAATGCACACTAACCTCGTTCAGCAAAGTATAACAGAGTTGAAAATAGCACTACGCTTGTCACCATGAAAAAGAACAGAGCACCTAGAGCATCTATACTTCTCTTGACAGCAACAATCATGACCTCTATGGTCATAATTATCGTAGATGTGTACTTGAAGGCTTTGAATACACGAAGCAGGCGAAACAAACGAAGGATCGTAAAGCGAAAGTCGTATGTCTGTGAAAACAGATGGGAAGTTAGTGTCATGGTATATGACCGAAAATAATAAGATATATGTGTAAAAGTCATTATTGATTGATACCGTGTCGTGATGAAACATCAATTCAATATAGTACGGAACGATTGCAATAAAGTCGATGATGGCGAGAGGAGCTATTACCACGCACAAACAAACGAGATGCCCCCCAAAAATTAAATTGTAAATAAGATGATATAGGTCAGACAATTATCGATCTTACTTTTTACAAATCGCCATAACTGCTTAAATGAATCGGAATGCGCAAACAGTCGTAGTACGTATTCTATTGTGAAGATGATGACGATGGTCGTCTCGAAATTAAACCTAGATCAATTAAACAATGAAGAAGTTAACCGAAATATCAAAAAGATTATAATTGATGAAGACAAACAAACAAACTTCTAGATTAACAACACAGAGGTCAAAATTATAAATTTTGGAAAACTAACATAATTTAATGCAAGGCAGAGGAATTGACCTCTGTGTTTATCATCCGAATTTCTCGAATAATTCTACGTACCACACCGAGCTGGAGGTCGATCTGAAAGTAGGTATTGTCTCCACGGTTGTCAAGACTGCACTTAGCACAATGGAAAAGGAAACAAAAACGTTGACATAAAATGCGGGAGTGCTCGAGGATGGATCTTCTAGCAATAAAAACAATTCCCTCTTCCAATCGGTGCGCATTGAATTTGCTTCCGTGTTATTTGCCGAGGTTGAACTGTAATCTTCAGCCCCCCTCAGCTCTTGTGGGAGCTCATTAAGTGGCCAGTCATCATCCAAGTCCAGCCCCGGGATGGATCTCCGCCCCAGTGGCGAAACTGGAATAAAAGGAACATTGGACAATATAGGTTGAGTGTCGGGACTGGTATTTCCATTTACGGTGGCTGGATCGGGAGGCGCGATCGTTTGTAGGGGAATAGCGGATGCTTGAGAAAACGAAGATTCACTCTCGGATGATAGTCTTGTAAAGTGTCGGTGTTTGGTCATTTGACTCTAAGCAATAATAATATGTATTGATGAAAATTTGATGAAAGGAATGATTAATGAAAAGGGAATAAAATTGGAAGAGACGAACAGTACAGGTGTGAAAATGGACACCAAAATGAATTTAACTAAAGATGCTAACCAAAGGTGGTACGCGACCAATAAAATCCGACGATCACTGGTCTTGATAGATCGTCCCGATAAAAATCCAATTTCTTTTTTCGGGTTCAAATAAGAGAAATATTCTTGCGCTGTTAACGAAACATATAATGTCTGGAGAACTAATATCGATCAAGACCGCAGTTGAAGTGGCCATTTCTGCCGTCGTCGTTGGCGGATTTTATATTTATATTCCTAGCCTCGTTGTTCCTATAGTTGTACTTGTTGTGGGTTCATGGTATAAATATTTGAATTCGTTGAAAAGAAAAGGTATGCACCTATTTTCTCGTCCATTTATGGTCTTTTTTTCCAAAGTTACCATGAATTCTTGCTTTGGAAAAAAAAAAAAAATCTCATGTTTTGTTGACAGTCAAACCAGTTCTAACTCCTGAACTATGGAAACAATTCTCGCTCGTGGAGAAGATTCGAATCAGTCACAACTCCGCATTGTGAGTATCATGGCCGTGTCGCGTGTACTCTCAGATGCACTTATATATATTGATTACGACATTTCAAATTCAAAAGGTATCGTTTTGCATTACCACACCCGGACGACGTTTTGGGTCTCCCGATCGGTCAGGTATTGTCAAATTCAGTTACATGCGTGCGCATCACTTCTAGAGTTCATACCAGATACTCAGTAAATTCTCAATGTAGCATATTTCGGTGCAAGCGGAAATTGACGGTAAACTTATCCAACGCAGTTATACGCCAACTAGTTCGGATGATGACCTTGGTCATTTCGATCTTGTTATAAAGGTAGAAATGAAATGAGATATTTGTGTGCATGCTCAATTATCAAATGCCTGTACCTGCATACTTAAATTTACATCTCTAGACTTATCCCAATGGAAACATATCCAAATGGATCGACGAACTCAAGATTGGGGAAAAAATCACGGTCAAGGGTCCCAAAGGTCAATTTAAATATAGGCCTGGATTGGTCCGAGCTTTTGGCATGATTGCCGGTAAAAAACCTTTGCCTCTTTTCTTTGAACCTTTTTTGGTTTTTTTCGAGTATCTTCTTTTTCATCTTTCTTCTTAAGGTGGCACTGGAATAACACCGATGTTACAGGTAAAGTTTCGTTAAAGAATTAATATCCGCCATTTGAATTTTTAAAGATTTTATTTGCGTGAATTAGATCATTCGTGCTATTTGCAAAAATCCATATGACAAAACGCGCGTCAGCTTAATCTTTGCAAATGTCACCGTCGACGATATCTTGTTGAAAGACGAACTAGACTCGCTCGCATCTAAACATGAAAACTTTACCGTTTTTTACACATTGGATAAGGTACGTTTTTAAATACGTGTTTTTTTTTTCTAACGGTTTTCCAACCCGAGTTTCCTCTTTCTTTCTAGCCTCCACAAGGTTGGACCGGAGGTTCTGGATTCGTGACACCCGAAATTATTGAAAAATACTGCCCTAAACCTGCGCAAGACGTCAAGATATTATTGTGTGGTCCTTTGCCCATGGTCAGTGCCATGACCAAAGTTTGCGAGTCGCTAGGTTACGAGAAGGCCAGAAGTGTTTCGAAACTCGAGGTAAGAGAGAATTAAGCCATTTAATAATCATAGATTATACATTTTCATTTTCATCACTTATTATTAACCATCAATCATTTATACATTATTCTAACAGGATCAGATTTTTAAATTTTAAGTATACCTTCCCTATATTTATACTACTAACCAGAATTTATTTATACAAACTAAGGAGTTTAACTAATACGCGGTCTAGTCACGTAATACAATCACATGTCTCTAGTCTCTAATAATAATAATTTTTTTATTCTCATCTCTCTTAATTCATGTGTGTCGAGTGGTGTAAAAATTGTAATTTCCTAAACACGCATTATGTAATACCTGTTGTTGGATATAAGGACTTTTGCATAATGTATGAAAAGTTCGAGATGTATCTCTCCGATTGCGAATTTTATAAAATATGCCGTCAATATAGGGATTAGATTCGTTTACGGGCGCAATAAATATTGTCATCTATTATGAACTTGATGATTACTAATCAACGTCTTTGATGTAATGATGATATATTTTTAATTATCGGGATCGAAAAACCAAAGTTTATTACGTGTGCTTGCCCTTACGTCATTCGGTGGGGTGATGAATGGATAAATCTTGGACTTTTCCCATCTGTCGATGAATACAGCATCTTAAATGCGCGAAAAATTTCAAAACCGTGTTGAAGCCGGTAGTGTTTTGGCTGGTGAGGTAGCAAGAAAATATAAAAATGTTAACGACGATGTTATCGTTTTGGCATTACCAAGGTATTTTGTGTTTCGTATTCGTCAATTCTTCTAATCGTCTTTCTCGTTTCTCATTTACTTTGGGTCGCAGAGGTGGCGTACCGGTGGGCTTCCAGATTGCTCAACAAATCAGGGCTCCATTGGATGTCTTCTTGGTCAGGAAAATCGGTGTGGAGGGGTATGTGGAAAACCATTTGGCTATGGAAGGAAAGGATATTGCACTCAACTCTTGTCTCGATCTTTTTCGGTGGCCGCAAAATGGCTGCCATCCTATAGTTATGAGGAATTAGCCATGGGTGCCATTACCGAAACCTCCAGAATCTTTAATGAAGATATCATCTCAATGCTTCATATTGACCAAAAATCAATTGACCGCGTCATTCAACGTGAGGTACGTCGTCAGCTCCCTCTTTTTGATAATTTTTGGCCAACTGAGACAATGCTCGCAAATAGACGACCGAACTGCGAAGACGTAATCAAAAATACAGGAAGGGAAAGCCGGCTCCCGATGTTACCAACAAGATCGTGGTTCTCGTCGATGGCAAGTAATCATTTAAAAACTCTTTATAAGTGACTTTTTTTTATTTTATTGTAAAATTTTTTTTCTAAAGACGGGATCGCCACGGGTGCGACGATGAGGGCCGCCTATACGTCTTTGAAAAAACTGTAAGAAAATTTGAGGATCACGCATATTCCCCAGTTTCTTTTGTTGTGAATTTTAAGTGATTTAATTTCGTGACAGTAATCCCGCAAAGATTATAGTCGCGGTGCCAGTCGCCGCTCCGGAAACTCTGAAGAAGATGGGAAAAGAGGTGGACGACATAATTTGTCCATTGGTACCTCGTAGCTTATCAGGAATTGGACAATGGTATCACGATTTTTCTCAGGTATGCTCGTCGACAGAATTTTACATCTGCGTGTTCTGTTTGCAAAAATCTCTTGATGAAATTTCAGACTGAAGACGATGAAGTCTTGGCCTTGCTAGCCAGGGCCGAGGAGATCTGTCCCGTCCCCACCATCTCCGCCGAGGATACCGAAAAATATCAAAGTGAAACTATCTTGGAATAGATAAGGTCCCTTATTCGGAGTTTGTAATTTTAGGGGGAAAGAAAACTAAATTTGTGCAATCAAGATTATACCCGTTTTTTTGTTTTTCACATACATCTCATTACGATGAATGATTGAAGTTGTCGAATTTAGCACATGTATCATCGTGCATTATCCAAGAATAAATAAATATCACGAATTACACTTATGATTTGATTGAAAATGTAAAATAGATGGTTGGAAAAGATCAATTGTATTGGCAAACAATAGTAACAAATAAAAACGATAATAAAAAATTGACCAAACATTACTCAATTGTTAAAGAAGTGAAATCTATATAAAATTTATTTATTTTTTTTTTTGTTGCAAAACCTTCGACCCTTGTGATAACATAGATAATAGGTCATTTTGAATATTTATGGTAAATTTCTTTGTTCGTTCTATAGTTAACAAGATATGGAAGTAGTGCAAAGCATTTCATACCCTGAATGAGAGTAACCTCCCGCAAAACAAAATCACGTGATTAAATGCACGCATCCATTAGAGGATTATTCCTGATGATGTATGTACTTTACTTTAATAAGTGAATGACTGTAATTAAAGAGATGGATGAATAAATCAAGAAATAAAAAAGAATCATATTAATAAAGAATTTTACAAGAGGACTGGCCATACTTCGACTCTCGATTTTGTTAACCATAATCATCTGGAACCCAGAGTTTTTTAGTTAGGGCAATGGTCAAACATGCTTGTTTCGAATCCCCCACGTTTTAACGACAACATGTTACATACTCATTAATTAAATGTTTAATATAGCTTTTTGGTGGTATGACAATCCATAAAAGTCTGCATGATCTCAGATTCGTGTGGCGGCCAAATAAGGGTATACTACCTCTTAATAAAAATGGCGCACATATCTATTTAATTGGCCATGTCCTAACCGCCTTCGCTCCTCTCACCAAATTTTTCGAGTGTCATGCGCATTTTAAGTGTGTTCCTCACAATAAAGTGCCTATTACTATTGTCTATTTTTTTGGACGTTACCAGATCAGAGGAGGCAAAACCCGGCACGCTTATATTAGATCTGATAAATTGCAATTCAATTTCCAAAAATTGGAGCAAAACGAACAGCGAAGTAAGATATGATAGCACAGGCGATGTTGTCGGTTTACCATGCATTCAGGGTCCGACTGCGCAAGGAATTAGTGGAATAGTCTTGTATCTCGTGGATGCTTGTCAACCACGGATTCCCGACAAAACTACTCACGACTTTCAGGTGATAGCTTTGGTGAAAAATAATATATCTTGTAGCCTTCAACAACAAATTACCAACGCTGTTAATATTACACCCTCCATAGTGGGTATATTATTCTATGGTCAGAACGGCCATGGAGAGGATATTCCTAAAGATTTCGTCAATGATGAGAAACACCATCCTTCGAGCAAACCTGCCTTTTATGTTAGCATGAGCGTAGCTAGTCATATACTGTCATCCGCCGCAAGTCTTTATAGCACAAACATTAGTGGGACTCAAATATATGCAACGATGTTACCATCACGATATGGTGGTACGACAACTTTAGAGGTAGCCTTTATCAGTGTTCTGTCTACCTTATTGGGTGCATTTTGCATCTCACGTACGTATCTTTTTTACCTTTGTTTTTTTTTCGCACTTTCGCCAAAACTTATTTGATTCAAATTGACAAACATTAGTGGGAATACATTGCGGAGTGTATCGATGGAGGCGTGGTACCACGAGAGCGGAACCTTTGGTGATAATCAACCAAACTTTCCTGGAAAAAAAGGTATTGGACAGTTTTCCGGTCAAAAAATTTAAAAAATCATGTTGCTCTGAGGAAGGCGTGAACGAAAAGCCTGATTGCATAGATGTGAACGATCCTAATGATACGGAAGTAGGATGTAGTGGGGGAGTAATGATAGGAAACATTAACGTGGGAAATCAAGGTGCTGAGGTAAATAGTAAAGAGGAGAACATTGAAAAGAACAATGACAATGTCAGGATAGATAAAATAGATGTGGATATTGAGAAAAAGGAGATTGAGGGAAGGGATGACAAGGGATTGGGGGATAACGATGGTCAGAGCATAGAAAAAGAAATAAATTTAGAAAAGGTTGTTGAATCAATATCAATTGATGAAGAGGATACGAAGGATATATCACAAAAGACAACGATGGATTTTAATAACACAAGGCCAATGAACTCTACACCATCACTGTCCGAAGAAGCGTCGTCGCCTGATGAAATTGCAATCGCAGTAACATATGATCAAGGAATCACGACTCAATCACCACTTCCGGAAACAGATGGGAGATCATTAATGGAGTATCAACGGAATTCCTCCACGAGTATAGAGCAGCATAAAATACAAGGCCCGCAGATTACCTGTGCCATATGTTTAGATGATTTTCAAGAGGATGATTTGTTGAGAATATTACCTTGCGAACATGAATATCATGTTGGATGTATTGGTAACGATTGGATTTTGTTTACATCCTCGAGTTATTTCGTTTCTCAATTGCTAATCCACGTCTTTTTTTCTTTCTTGAACAGACGAATGGCTCTCAACAAAGTCGACAAAGTGTCCGCTTTGCAAATTCAATTGCGACCTATCAGAAACATCGGATTCTCAGAGCGACAAATGTGATAATGATGAGGCATCCACCTCTATTGTTGTTTTACCTACATTAACGACAGATAATGTCGAAATTAACGATGACAACGCAAACGACGAAAATATTGTTAACGATGATATAATAGTGACAATCGATCCACCAATAGATACCTCATCGATACAACCATCATCGAATGATAATCAAAATATTTAATTTAACTAACATTAGAAGATTGTAGGGATGGTTAATTATTTAATATAGTAAAAAATGTAAATATAGTTGATATTTAAAACCGGATAAATGGTCAAACCTCGGGAAAGGTTAAAAAAAAAATAAAAAAAAAATAAATGATAAAAATAACCAATTTATGGAATTAGGTAAAGTTTACGTATATAATGTCGGGTCTTGCAGTAGGAGAACACTGTGTTGTTTAAAAAAATCTCTTGGCAAATTATTCCAGGAAACGCGCTAACCCAGATGGCAATGATATGTGTACACAAGCGTATCTTACGATTTTTGTAGATCTCGCATGATAATCCACAAGTATGAAATTAATACAAATTTGATAACAAAATTAGGTTTGAAATAGACTAGATATCGTATTTTGGAACGAATTATACTTTTTTTGTAATGTGGTATTCTAAGTATGGAAAAAGATTGCATTAATACCCCCATTATTATTTTTCCAATTTATTCATTAATCGGTTAACGAAAATAAATTAACGGTTTAATATAAAATCAGTAAATTGATCATCAAATCTCCGATGTTTTAAACTGGATAGTGTTTTGATTATTGATAAGATAAAATAAAAAAATAAGAAAATCCATATAAATCATTTAAATAATTGCATAAATAATTTAATAAAAGCTTTTTAAATTAAATTACATTTATAATGTAACAAATTTATAAAATATAATAATTATTATAACATGATATTTAAAAAGATATTGTTATATTAATATAAAATTTATAATTAAAAAAATTTTTTTTATTATAATATGTATATTAAAATAAATCTTTAATAAATATTTCTATAACTATATTTTGATATTTTTTCTTTTTTTTATAATAATTAATATCATATATTTAGTAAACTTTTGTTTGAATTTTAAAATATTATAAATATTTGTAATATATTGTTTTGATAATGTATTTTTGATATTTAATATATTTTTATGTTGTTTTTATTTTAAAAATATAAAAAATTTTTTTTAAAAAAGAATACAAATACGTAATATTAAATAAATAAATAAGCATTTAAAAATATTATTTTTTTAAAATAAATTATAATTAAAAATAATTATAGTCTGTTATAAGATTATTGAATTTTTTTCAAATTTTATTATTTTATAAATAATAATTAATAAAACAAACCAATATTTATTATTGACAAAAAAAAATTAATTATTGTTTTATAGTTTAAAAAAAATAGTTCAAGTATTTTTGAATTTTGAATATAATTTCAATTATATTATTACTATATTATCATAAAACTTTTTAATTAATTTTAGTTTTTAAATCTTTAAATATTATAAATATTATATTATATTATTTATTAATTATAAATTTTGTTTAGAGAATTTTATTTTTAAAATAAATCAATTGCACTATATTTTTATTAAATAGTGTATTACAGTTTTTGTTTAATAAAAATAACATAGACCTTTTTCCAATATTATACAATTAAATACAAATAAAACAAAAATCATATATTTGTTTTTATAGAAATCTTAAAAATAAAAAGCTCTAATTGTATCAAATTGGGATAGCGACATCACTTTTGTCATTTGTTTATTTTTTATTTATCCTTTACAATATACGTATATTTAATTGTAAAGATTAATACAGTTCGTTTATTAAATCATATTATTATCGTATTCTATTAACATTAATATAATGTTATAGAGTAACTGTATATTTAATCAAAGAAAAAATGTTTTTTTAGTTTCTATATTATGAATCAATGCATATCCATTTCACTTTATTTTATTTATTTTATTGCACCGAAGAGATTTTTCAATAAACTGTATGAAAACTAAGTGATAAGCGAGAAAGGCAGTAAAATTAAAAATTAAAAATTAAAAACCGATTATATATCCAAACATCATAATTTCAAGGATGACTAATGTGATCCAAGTGAAAAATCTTTTACAAGTGTTCCACTTTTCGTCTAACATGGGACCATCACCACCCCTCTTGACGAACCAGTCAAATCTTTTCATGATGTATTTCCATTCGTTCCTTTCGATTAGACCCATAAATCTTCCTCCTTCACTTGAGAGTCTGATCAATGAAGATTCAGCCGAGGCTAGAATTCTACGGTACCCCCGAACATTTGGAACATACCCACCCGGGTCTTCATACATGTGAAGATGAATATCGACAATTACATTCGCAATTACAATTGTAATCGATGATAGAATTAAAAGGAACAATCCAATAATTAAAAATGAACCATGATAAAAAACCGCAATTGGCATTGTGCAAACAAAAAGTAAAATCAGTCCAAAAAAAAGTTCCGCACTGTTCGGAGCTGCGTCTCGATAAGTTAATTCGGGATATAGCTTTACCAGCGCGCCATCTCCTTTAGCCCATCCATAGAATCTCCAATAACTTCTTTTACCATTATTCCACCAAGGATGAATGACTTTGACGTTTGGTGCACCATAGAATCCTTCTCCTCCGGGATAATTTTCAATAAAGAATTTTCTTTTTTTCAGGCAAAAATCGATGTCCTCGCCACCACCGGTTTTGGGAAAAGTGGAATCGAATAAAACACCGTCATTATATCTTCGGGCAAGTAGATTTGCGGTGACGCCCCAAGGTAAATCTTTCTCAAACTTTTCAGCTATATCCCAAAAATATGTGACTCCAGACATGACTATAGCACAAGTGTAAATTTTGTCACTTGCCTCAGGAAATTTTGAGTTTCCTACAAATCCACAAGCGTTAGGGTGCTTTCGAATGACATTTTCGCATTCGAATAGGATGTCGGGATCCGGGGTTACATCATCATCCAAGAAAAGGACGTATTCTGAACTTGATTCTTTTAAACCTCGGTTTCTTGCTTCGCTCGCTCCTAGATTGCCTTCATTTTCCCTGATTCTTATGAATGGATCTTTCTCGTAAAGTTTTTTTAATGCACTAGCACACGAAGAATTTGGATTGTCTATTATAATAATGACCATGGTTGAAATAGTCGGCGGTCTTTTTAAATTAATGATTTTTTCCAAATAATTTAAATTGACGCGGTAACTCGGGACAATAATGTCCAGTGTGAGTAACGTTAATGGTGGAGTATGGAAATTTCTGCATAACCACAGGTTTGCTTTTTTCACTGCCTCATCCAGGATTTCGAGACCCCAATCTTGACAGTATTTCTTTTCGTACCTAGTATGATTACTGCCACCTATCGTATTCCGAAGCTTGACGTCTTCCAATAGTATCGAACTTCCCCATCGTCGATAAATTTGAAACAGGTACGGATCACCATCTTGATTATGAAACTTTGCCGGAAAAATTTCACCGAAAATTTTAAAATGCGGACGTCCGATTACTGGAAATGTTGGAAATCCAGGAAACGAGGTATCAAAGAAGGAGATGCATCCGAATCCACGAGGAACCTTCTTTTCGTTGGATACATTGACAAAGGCATCATTGATTTTTTTCATCCATCCTTTGGTCTCGATAATTACGTCATCACCTAAAAGAATTGTATAATCGCAATTATCATCGTATGCTTTCTTGGCTAAATCTCTCCAAAGCGCACAAATCGAACCAGGTGGATGAGTAAGTTCGGTTGTATCAATGTCCCATAATGATTGATTTTCACCAAGGATCTTCAGAGCTGGATTATCCTCGAGTGGATGAAATAACTTATCATCTTTGTCGATTCCTAAGTAAATTTTGATTTTAAAGTTTTTTTTGTATAAATCTTTGAAAGAGGTATTACGAAGACTTGCTGAAAATTTTGCAAGGTTGTTTAGACAATCTTCAGGCTTCGATAATCCACGCGAAGTTATAGGGAGTAATATAGCGAAAGTGATGATATCAGGGAATTGATTGTCTTGCGCGAGAAATTTTACCTCACTTGAGAGGTATGACTCGATCCGCTTTTCCACATCACTATGACACCATTCTTGGATCTGATCTTGAATCCAGTCAGAGGTTTTTTTCATTCCTTCACGAATAGTATGTTTAGGATACCACCTAAGCCTTTCCTTAATAAACGTGTTGTCAGAATTCCTATTTATGACTCCTATTGGTCTATCTTCCAACCTCTTTAAGGTAATCTCCTCTTTGGGAACGCCAAGTGTTCTGAAGGCGATGTACGCCAATTCCTCAATGCTGACGGATTCCTCAGAACCGATATTAATTGCATCCTCGCAATCACTTTCCATCAACTTGACAATCGCTTCAACACAATCTTCAATGTATAAAAAACTGCGTCTCTGCTCGCCCGATCCCCAAATTTCCATTGTATTCTTGCGCATATATTTATTTGCAATAATAGCTTTCCTTAATATTGCGGCGGGAGCTTTCTCTCGACCGCCATACCAGCATCCACCTTCTCCGTAGACATTGTGAAATCTTGCGATTCGGATTTTAATAGAGTCTGATCTAAGACTTTTTAGCATGATCTCGGAATTCAGTTTTTCGGCACCATAAAAATCTTGGGGATCTGGACCATCCGACGAATTCCAGACGTCAGATTCTTTTAATCTTAGATTTAAATCATGCGCGTCAAGTTGTTTTTTACAAGGGTATACGCAAGCTGACGACGAATAAAAAAATCTTTCTACACCAACTTCTATAGCAGCCTGTAAAAGGTTTATTGTCATGATATGATTGTCTCTATAGATTTCGAAATTGTTCCTTGAGTGGATCATTCCCATGCCTCCCATGTTTGCAGCGAAATGGAATATCCAACCTGGACTAATGAGTTTAACGAATTTTCGGCATTCGGATAGATTTCTGAGATCAACTTTATAAAGTTTTGTGCAATAAGAGTCTTCATTTTGATATCGACGAAAAGTCGTATCATCACAGATGTCTATGGCGAAAACTTTGTGGCCTTGACTGTGAAAATACTTTGCCACGTGACTTCCCTATAATTATGAAAGCAAGTTAGCAAAAATAATTGCACGGTGCAAACATCTCCAAAGACATACAATGAAGCCATTTCCTCCACTAATCAAGATAACTCGACCGGAATTCATTCCATCCATTTGTTTGTTTGTTTTTTTTTACTGGAAGAAAAATTTACGCGTGTTTTTTTTATATAAATATTATTCTTATACACGTTCTTTGTATACAGCGACTTGGATTTTATTAAACCATCCAGGAAAAATGTATATCCGTATATGCTAAAAAATATTACAAAATATTACTCAATACGTCGAAAATGAGTTCACGATTCATAAAATCATAGCAAATTAAATTAACGCGTATTTCAAGATTACAATAATGTTGCGTTATTATTTAAACCTTGCATTGTATCATAAAAATCTCATAGCTAGGATATTTGATAGTACTATGTCAGAATATTTTTTATTAAAAAATGACATTCGTTGGAAATCACTCATTGTCACATGCTCAAAATACGCAATTTCAAAGGGATGAAAGTTCGACTTTGTAATTTTATGTTTAAACGCAGGCCGAAAAAATTATTATCAAACTGTTAAGAAACCATCAGTTATTGTATATCTGGATTTGAAAATAGAACTTCGTTCATTATGATTTAGCCTGATAATAAATTAACGTTTGTTACTTTCAAATTACATTATATACATAATAACATCATCATTATTAATATTACGTGAAAGATAGTTAAAGTAAAAAATGAATTCCATTTTTTTTTTATCAGGCTGGCATCACATGTTTAATGAATTCACTTAAACTTTAACAGCAACAAGCATAAAGTATTTTTCATTTTCCAATTAAACAAATTATTTTAATATCATTTAAAATAAAACTATGTATCTTATGTTGTCATATTCTTGTAAATTAAATTTCTTTAATTTGGAATTTAATAAATATTTGATAAAATGGTATTTTAATTGCATTTATTTAATTAGAGAACTTATTAAATACATGCAATTTATTTTGTTGACCTTTTGTTTTTATATAAGTCAATAACAATATTGAGACTATTTATGAATAACTATTTTTAATGAAGAATTTATATTTCTTGCTACTGTATATTAGCCGTTGTATTTAATTTCTTGTTTCTTTTTTAATATAAAAAATACTTTAATATAAAACAAAGTTATACAAATCTTATTGTGTTCGTGTAACGTTATGCAATTATATAATGTTTAGTAGGAAAATTCAAGTTTAAAGAGATCAAATATGCAATCGTTTGATTCTAGGTATTGTCCTGAATGTAATGAAAAATATAGCCTCGAATGGTGCACATCATGTAATCGAATTCACTTTCAACAAGATTTTGACAAATGGACAAGTGGAGATAAAAAAATTGACGAATTTATACAAAAGTTTCAGCTTCAAGCTAGAAATAACGGCATGATATTTGAATGGATACCGTATACACAATTTCAAGATGTCAAATATATCGCTAAAGGAGGATATAGCACTGTGTATTCTGCGACATGGAAAGATGGTAAAATTAAAAAATGGGATGTTCTCTATAAGAAATGGGTTAGGAATCCTCCTTTTCCTGATGGGAAGGTAGCATTAAAAAGCTTAGATAAGCTTAGCTCAGTTGACGATCTTATAAATGAGGTAAAGAATATTAAACCTCGTTTAACTATAGGTTTATTATTAATATATTTTATTTTAAATTTTTAGATTGGGAAACATTATATTCTGTGGGGCGGCACCATGGTTATTGTTGGGTGTTATGGGATAACGCAACAGCCAGATTCGTTATGCTATATGATGGTTTTAGAGTTTCAAGAAAATGGCAGTCTCAGGAATTACTTAGACGAAAATTTTTACAAGATGGATTTGAAATTAAAGTTGGAGTCGTTGAGAGATATTTTATATGGTTTAAGTTTAATGCACATGGAGGAATTAGTTCATAGAGACCTTCATCCTGGAAATCTTTTATATGGTTCTAATTTATGGTTGAGAATATCAGATCTAGGTCTTTGTAAATTTTTTAAAGAAAACTCAACACGTAAAGAAATTTATGGAGTTCTTCCATACATTGCACCCGAAGTCTTGTGTGGTCATGTTTACACACCGGCAGCAGATATTTATTCATTTGGAATCGTAGCATATGAAATGATCACAGGATTTCCTCCATACTATAATATTCCTCATGATCAAGATCTTGCTGTACAAATCTGTCAAGGCTTACGTCCAAAAATTCCATTCAGGATTCCAAGACTTTTAGTTAGATTAATAATGCAGTGTTGGGATGCGAGGCCATCTTGTCGACCAGGTGCTAATGAAATGGCCCAAACTTTAGACATATGGATTGATTTGATCGAAAGTGATGAACCTTCGGATTTTAAGGAACAAGTTAAAGATTACGAAAGTGAAGTTTTAAAAAATTCGTCGTCGAATAATAACTTCTCGGGACTTAATTATAAAACGCACCCAAATGCTATTTACACTAGCAGGCTTTTGAGCTTTTCAAATTTTTCACAGCCAATTAATGCCCCTAATTACGAGAAAGTACTTGAAATGTCGAGTGACTATGCGGGTGAACATACTATAAATATTATAATATTCATTGCATTTCTAAATTTTTTATTAACGATTTTATCTTAAACACATATGCAACAGACTCAGGTTTAGTTAACCTGGAAGTTCAGAATTTTTAGGTATTTTACGAAATTAATTTTTTAATCGTAATAATGACCATAATTCTTTTTTAATCAAATACATTAAAATATTTTAGAAACACTTTGGCTCACGAAAATATTTAATTATAAACAAAATACTGTACGGTATGACCCTTTTCACGGTAGCCATAACACCAGTCATTTGGTATATTTTGTAAGAGTCATGCGGTTAAGCCTGGATAAAGGAAATTTCTTTGGTGAAAATAAAGTTTTGACTTTATAAATTAAACTTCAATTAGTGGTATTAAAGTCTAATTATATTTTTTTTAGCATCTTCTGGTATTCACTAAATACGTAAATAAATCAATGAAATATTGAGATATAGAATTAGATGCCAAGTTAAAGTTGGATATTCTTAAAAAGATTATAAAATAAATACTTTCTTTAATGGTAACTAAATAAATAACTATATATACAGTATATCCGAAATATTGTGATAAAGGTATTAATATACTACCATTGTTATAAATAAATATTAGTGTTATAAATTCCAAAGTTTATTATTTTTTTTTTAAACAATTATAAATAAAGAAACCTTTTACCCGGAAAATAATAATAATATGGTTTATAACATCTATAGTCATCAAAAATATAAATTAGTCCGAAATTTCAAACGACGATCATCATGTGATATTTATTACATAATAAGATTTTTATTGGCTAATGCACATATGACGATTTCCACGTGCCATGCATGTGTATATAAAAAAAAATTTTTTTCAGATTAGGCTTCTCTCTCTTAAAATATCTTAATCCATTACCGTGTTAAAATTCGTAGTGCAAAATAATCCTTGCGCAAAACTAAC